ATAAAGTCATCAATAATCCAATGTCAGGAAAATTGTAAAGAAATGTTATAATAATTATCAAATTAAATAATAAGATAACGCGATATAATTTTTTGTTTGTTAATATCTAACTTATAATATACTACTGTATTATATAAGTATTATTATACAGTATGTTGTGTGCTGTCAGTCAAATCAAAATATATTTATATAATATATCGCTGACATTGACTTTGAGAATAAAAATCAATCACATGTTTAAATATACAATTATTGATACAAAAATAGTTTTTTATGTCACATATTATTTTGTGTATATTATAATAATAAAAATCTTTTATAATTTAGTGTATTGTTATTGTTATTATTACAAAATTTCACTTAATTTTCATTTGTTATTTAAGAATAGATTTTCCTTTTAATTAAATTTTTACAAAAGCTGTTTATTTAATACAAAATATATTTAAACATTAAATAAATTAATATACTTTTGAGGAAACAAAGGAAATCTTATTAAATTATAAGCTAAATGTCTGAATTTTAATGATATTAAAACTTTTTTTGTCTGCAATTGCCGACAAAAATTTATATTATTTATGCATTTTTATAGAAATATAGAAGAAAATAATTTTTAAAAATATATATTGTTATACCAGTATATTATTTGATAAGTTTAGTATAATTTTTAACAGTTAACAGTAGTTATATTTTATTATTATTATTATCAAAATTTATTATAATTTAGTTTTTGGACAATTGAAGTTATTATAAGATTAAAAATCAAAATAAATACTATACATACATTTATTTTTTAAAAACAATTTAAGTTACTCAGTTTAAAATAGTGATAAATTTTAATAATTATATAATAATGTTAATTTTATTTAAAAAAATAACATTTATTTATATTTATTAAACTTTGACTTTTACCCGTTTCTTAACATATCAAATAATTATAGTATAAATCTCTAATACCTTAAAATATTTAATACAAAAATTTTATTGGTTACTTAAAGTTTTTAATAATATCAATAAGTAATACAAATTTGTTTAACCACTTATTTAGTTAATATCTAAATATTTAAGTCTTTACAAAATACAATATTAACGATTGTTTATAAATTATATAATACTGTTATACTGATAGAGATTAAAATTAGCAATTAATTAATTTTTTTTATATAACATAAACTAAAAATGTTTGTTAAGTAAAAATATTATAGTTTCTATTAATAGTTTTAATGATATATCGATTTTAAAAAGAGATTTACTAGAAATTTTTCCTAAAATATTTAAGGAAAAATTTTTAATTAAATAATTTAGATAGTTTTATAAATATATAAAAATATTTTTATTTTTATAAACATATGCTATGCATAAATTATTAGCATTTTATATTTATAAATATTAATTTTCATACAATAATTATTAAATTAGCCAAAACTCAAATATCCAAACTCACAAAACATTAATTTATTTCATTCATTCAACTATTATATAATATAAACCAATCATTTGACCAAAACTAATATTAAAAAATATTATTTAATTAAATATATAATTATCTGATGACTTATTAATTGATAATTATTATACTTAAGTAATATAACAATTTAGATTTTAGTCAAAATAAATTTAGACTATTTTTACTTTTACTTATATGATTTCACTCATATAAATTTGTTCAAATATATTTAGGTATTATGAGATTTAGTGAGAAAATTAAAATATATTTAGAAAATTTTACTTTTGTTTATAACCATTAATGAGATCACAAATTTTCATTAAGCTTTATAAGTCATTATGTAATATAACACTTGATAATAGAAATATAAGCTATAGAGTATAAGATTTTTCCATAATACATTAATATCGTTAAGTTAAATCATTAATCATAAATATATTCATGGTGATAATAGTAATAGTAATAATAATAAAAATAATTAAGGTAAATAAACACCAAAATCAAAATTGACTATAAAATTATAATTTATAATTATTATTATAAACGCAGACCAAAAAATAAAACAAAAATATTATTTTATTATATATAATAGTATGTATTATCTACAAAATTAATTCATAAATACAAAATAGTGAGACAATAAATATTTTTTTTATATAAATATTAATTGAAATTTTCTACAAATCTCTATTAGATAAAACAATTTAATTTGTTTAGACCATGAATATAAAAATAATAATTGACTTATGTACTGTATTAACAACAAAATTAGTTTAAGTAGCTAAATGATTAATTTTTTCCTATCTATTCATTTTACTAGAAATTGAGATAAAATAAATGTTAAACAAAAACAATCTACAGATATTGAATATTATTAATAAAGTATAAGATATTATATATTATGACATATATGTTGGTATTTTTGGTATTTTTAGATTTGATAAAAAATAATATCTTAGCAATAATTGTTTGATATAGATATACAAATACTATTTGATTTTGGTATAGAAAGTTAAATATTAATATATTGGAAACACATTATAGCATAAATGTAGTGTCAATAATATTTATTCATTCACTTCATTCAACAAAAACAAATAATATATATATATATATAATTCAAATACAAAATATATAAATATAAGATATACTGTATAATAAAATGTATAATATATTTATATATATATTAGCTAATCTATTGAGTATCTTATATATTATTACTTAAAACAGCTACTGTATACACAATTGCTATTTATTTTAGTCAGTCAGTTGAGTGGTATTTTGCTATAAAAGTGAAAAAACAATTTATGCCAACTATGTATTGTATTGTATTATATATTATATTTGACTCTTTCATACGGGAAATGTAATCACAAAATAAATATAAAAAATTGTTGTTTGTTAATGTTGGCTAACATTGTTGTTGATAAAAACAAATCATATATTAAGCTTAAGATTTTATATTGAAGATCATTTCATTTACAATACCACACACAAACACACACATAGCATATGTAGAATATATATATATATATAAACTGTATATTTGTTATATAAGTTTATCTAATAACTATACATATAACAAATATATATTATAGTTGTTAAAAAAATAAAAATATATTATAATTTATGAATAGTATATAGCGATAACTAATATATTGATAACTGGGTAAAACTTTTTTTTTTAAATAATAAATATCTAAATAAATTTTCAATAACTAATATTAATACATAGTTTTTAATTCAAATGTTTTTATATCTGTACATCAATATAATTTATTGTAATAATTATATTTTGTTTAGTTTATATAACAAGATTATATTGCAAATATTATATATATATTTATTTATTGATATAAATATAATTATTATTAGATAGTATATATAGATAACAATAAATATCGACTATCTTTTATATTGAATGACATTTTCGTTTAAAACCACTTTTTTGTTATCGGATTCTCAATTCTTTTATTAGAAAATAGTAGAATACAGAATATTCTGTAAATGTATTATTATTTTCTATGAAATAGCTTTTTAAAAATATACTCTTTCGGTGTTGTTTCCTGTATATAGGTTTATACTGTAACTCCCACTTTATCTGTCAAATGTTCTTAAATATTATATTATATGACAGATTAGTCTATTTAGTTATATGATATAGAGTTAAAGTTGTATTTAAATATATAAAAATTTATATAGAAATAATATGAGAGTCAATTTATATAACATTAGTTTAATATGTCATATATTGTAAGATTTCATAACAGTTCAACAATTTTTTTTGATTTCTCATTAAATGGATTTGATATAAATTCAACGTTGATAGCAAATAAATACATTATTTTCATACAGTATTATATTGCATATTATTTTATATTTTTATAACCTCATTTACATGGAAAGTTAGTTGATTAAAATTTATTTTATAATAAATTTGTAATTTTTTATTTATATTATTATTATTATTATTATAATGATATTGTTGACAATAATATTTTAGATAATAATGATAAATATTTACTTACTCTCATCGATAGTTGCTTTATTGTTCAAATTAATTTGTCTATTAATAAATTATTATTATGGCTTCCAATATTTTATACAAATAAAATTGTCAATAAATCGTATATTATTAAATTAATTCAATGTTAATAGAAATAATAAGGTTATTTTTTCAGATATATTAATATATTTGTTAAACAAATAGAGAGAAAACAATTATAAAAATGTGATTTTCATTATTATTGTATATAGATTTTTAACAATGATGTTTATGATGAAACAAACAATTTTATCGTTAAATGTTTTTTTTTATTTATAAAAGCCTTAGGGATCATATAAACTAAAAATGTCAGCAAAAGAGTTATTGATTTAAAAAAATATAAAAGTGTGAATTAGATTTAAAAAAAAAAAATATATTTTATAATTTGAAATAAACAAATTTAAAAGATTTAATTTTAACTAAAAAAAATTAACTAAATATATTTTATTTGAACAAATAATTCTATTTTATTATTGCTTATTATTTTCATCTAATTAAATAAAAATTTATTTAGTTAATGCTTTTAGTATATGTACTTTAGTTGTATTATATTGACATCATATGAGATAAATGAGGACACAATATATATACAGTATAATAATTGTAATTTAAAATATTTTTTTAATTATCTTTGTGTTGTTTAATTTTGAAATTTATTTACTTATATATAAATAAATATATATATTTGATTTTATAAAATATGTGTTTCGTGACTAAAATTTGAACAGAAAACTCTTTTAAAACTGCAATAATAATAATATTTAGAAAATTAGTTATTTAAAAATTCAAAACACTTGCCAATCACATGTGTTATATGTTTATATTGCAGTCAATGCAATACTATGTATACATTAACCCCTCAAAAAACAATTGTAAATTAAACGGTAATTTAATCAAACATACAAAAAAATCAATTTACTGTATGGTGTAATAATTTTTTGTATACATTATACCGTTATAAACAGTTATAAAGTTATATATACTGTATATGCGGTACAGTAGATCACATACCTATCGATGCCAATAGCCGTTAGAGTATAGACTGAGACAAAAACTGAGGCCAATTGCATGAACTGTACGACCGGACAGAATGATGGGTAAAATATCCAACGACCTAACATAAAGTCGGTATACGTGAATGGTATGGAAAATATAGCCATTGTTATGTCAGACAGCGATAGATTCACCAAAAAGATCCGCAACTCTCTTGAGGACCGTTTACCAGCCGTCAGCACCCATATGGCGATGACATTGCCCACCAGTGACAGTGTGGCCGTAAGGGAATAAAGTATGATTAACATGACCTGCCATTTGGGCTCCAGTAGCTCGAGATCTCGTTCTGTCTGTAGTTTACCCGAAGCGGCGCCGTTGCTATTATTGATATAATTGGCGTTAAATGTCAACAACAGTGCGGATACGTTTGACATGTCTTCGCCTGAAAATGTGTTATCAAATAATAATTTTTTGTAAGAGCTTTAATATTGAAGTTTTAACTTTTTAGATAAAATGCTTATAACTTTTATTTCTTGAAAATTATTAGTATTATTATTTGCAGTTAATATTTGAAAGTATAGTTTTTAAACATTTGTTAGTATATATATATTGATATTAAATTATATATATATACTGTATATTATTTGTACTCATATTAAAACATCAAACAAAATATAGCAAAATTTGTCATAATTTTGTTGTAAAAATTGCAAACTTTTTAACATTTTCATCAAAAATATTTCAAAAACATTTCTATTAAATTTGATATTTTTAAAACAAGAATTATATAAATAAAAATTTATTTTACTAAAATTTTAGTAAAAAAATAAACTGAATATTAGTAGTTCACATAAACACTGTCAAATTATTACATATAACTTTTAATTTTGAAATTTATTATTAATTAATTAGTATACTATTTCAAATGTGTTTTCTAAATAATAAAAACACATAGTTTATGCATGTTTGTCAAACATATAAATATTATACAAATTTTATAATAAAAATATTAACTAATTTTGTTTTTTAAAAAAGAGATACAATTTTGATTAAACTAATATCTAATAGTTTACCACATTTTTGTGGACAAAATTTTTTCCACTGTTTTTTTCAATGTATCATCACTTGTGGAAAAATTCGGTCATCACTTGTGTGTGATATTCAATGCAAGAGTCAAACTATTTGACTGCTTCTGAACGGCACTAATGTTGCGCACAGACAGACATGACTTTCCTGCTCTCTCTCTCTCTCTCTCTCTCTCTCTCTCTCTCTCTCTCTCTTCTATCTTTATCTCTCTCTCTCTCTCTCTCTCTCTCTCTCTTTACGATGACTATCCAACACACCTACCAGTGCCACAGAACCAGTTCTCCTCACGCTAACACACACACACTGTATACACTGTATATAAACTTATGGTAGCACTAGTAACACAGTCGACTGTTTATATAATGTTAAATAACTCATAGACTGTTATGCTATTTTATTTTAGAAAAAAAAACTTTTTTTTGTGAAAAAAATGTTTTTTTTTGCTGAAAGATAAACATTTTTTTTATTGTTGAAAGTTAGGCCAAAATGAAAATTCATTTCTTTTGCCCATAAATTTAGTATACATTATGTGTTTATTATTAATGTGTGTTTTGTTTAGAAAATGTTAATGCAATCTAAATCTGTTATTTAAAATAAATTTTTTTTGTAACTTTCTATAAAACTTTAAATACTGTATATATTAATATTAAACTTTTACAAAATAATTGTTAAAAGTAAATATAATATATGCTTTCAATTTATATTGAATATATTAAATGTATTCATTAAATACTGTAGTCATAAAAATGTTATTTTGTTAATATATAATATAGTTATGTCTTTATTCAATAGAATACAAATAAATTGTTTGATTTTAATATTATAATAGTGTTATTATATTTATTCAAATAAGTTTTCAATGTATTCACTTGTTTATGCAAACAAAATAAATAACTTGAATATCAAATTTGAATAGAAATAAAATAAAGAGCTTTGCATTGATTTGAAAATTATTTTTATTGTCAGAAATATAAATGTTACTATTAATAAAATTTAGTTAATAGTAATAATATAATAAATAATCCAATAGATATACAATAATATTCAATAGCTTATAGACAATAAGTTATATATTATTAAGCTTATCTATCGTTTTAAAAACATGTGTTAAATTAATGATGAATTAATGTGAATTATCGGTTCACACAATATATAAAAATATGAAAGATTAACATTAAGTAAGTAATTTAATGCCCAATGCTTTCATTTATATAAATAATTTTATTGCAATACAAACAAAAAAAAGTATTTAATTATAAAAGACAATAACAATTATAGTTAATAATTTTTACGATAAGAAGGAAAAATCTATATATACAATATATATAATAATAATTATAATTAACTGTATATTAATTGCAGTTACAATAGTATCTAGGTACTTTATTTTGACAATATTCATTATACAATTTATGATTATTTGTGCAAAAAAGCAATTAATTGAGATTTTATTGTACACACGTTCACTGTATACAATAATTACTTTATATATATATATATTAATTTATAATAATTATTGTGTAATTAAATAATTATTTATTATATTTAAACAATAATTATAATGATAAATTAAATATTTAAAATATTTGCTATAATTTTTTATATCAAATTTCCACTTATTAATATTAAAAGCGTTTGTATTTATAAAAAAATTATTTTGCTATTAAATATTAATTAATAAATCATTTACAACTACAGTACATTTTTAAAAATAAATATTTGTTATACTTGTTGTATTTTATATTATTAGGTATAAATGTTTTTTTAAATAATATTTTTATATAAATGACTTTATTAATAACAAGCAAAAAAAATTCATATTTAATAGTAAAACTAAATTTTTAAATTTGTGATTTAATAAACAAATTTGTTATTACGATAATTTTATAAATATGCTGGTGTTTTTGCAATATTTGCAATATAATAAATTTACATTTAGTTTTAAATATGACTGTAAATTTTTTAGAGACAGTTTTTAGCGATAAATAAATTATTATTTAATTTGTTTATCATCATAAATGTTATAAGTATTAAACTTTGTTATTATATATTTTTTTTATCTAACAGTCTAACCAAATAGTTATTAAATTACTTAATCAATTTGTCGAATATTTTATGTAAATATGATAGAAAAAAATATGTATACAGTATATAGCTATTTTGCAAAACATGAAAATTGCATCAAAATAATACTTATTTTGATTCAATTGAACAAAAAATTTATTAAAATTCATAGTAATGTAAAACTTATTATGTTTACTAGACATAAATATAATGTTTTTTTTAAAAATATAAGTGACATTATTTAAAATAAATAAATTTAATAATTAGTAAATGATTTCTGTGTGTGTTAGACTTAGAGTTATTATTGCTGTTATCATATGATATCAATATATAATGTATAAATTTTCAAGCGTATTATTTTTTAAAATATAATAATGTATAATAATTATATGATTATATGATATCATTAGCTAATAAGCATGTACAACATTTATCATAAAAATGTACTGTATTTTGAATAAACATTATATTAGACATATGCCCTTAGAGTAAGTTTAGGCTTAATTATTAAAATGATTTGGGAATACACAGTGTACTACACACATACAATTTGCAATACCGTACCAATATATACAACTAATAACTATTATTATTATTATTTTTGTAATTGTTGTATTAAAAACTATAGTAAATTTTTTTTAAATATAAAAAATTATTCCAACTATTTTATTATAAAAAATTATAGGTTATTAATAATATTTCAACTATAGTCAAAATATAATAGTATTTTTTCCACTAAACTTTGTTTAATAAATAAAGTTAAAATTATGTTTTAAAATTAATTTTCAACTAATACCTGGCGATTTATTTTCATATTTTTTTAAGTATTATTGATAATTTTATAAATACTTTAAATAATTCTTGGTAAACTACTGAATAAAAAAATTATTAAAAGTTATATTTATATCAATATAAGTTATTTCCAAATAACGACTCAACAATTATCTCTATTAATCAATTTTTAGTTTAATATTATCACTTAAACACTTTTAATTAAATTAATTATTTTATATATAATAAATTTATTATTGTATCATTAGTACAAATATATATATATAACAAAGATAACTAAAGTATAAATTCTAACATAAAAAAGTAATATTTCATTTAATTAAACATAAAATATTATTTATAAAAAATAGAAATAAAAATTAAGTAATTATGTCTAAAACAACAATAATATTAATGTTTATATGTTTAACATGTTTAGCAAATGGGGATAAATTATTATCAAAAAATTGTGGTCAATCTCGTGCTAAATCAGAGACAATTAAATCATTAATAGTCGGTGGCGTTGATGTGGCACCGGGAGAGTTTCCGTGGCAGGTCATACTCAGCTATCAATTTCCATGGGGATCGGCAGGTATTGTAGTAGTAGTATAATTTTCTAATAATAATAATTAATATAAATCTAATGTCTAGACAATTGTGGTGCAACAATTATCAATGAAAATTGGGTCTTAACTGCGGCCCACTGTACAGTAGAAATGCCCGATAAAGATAAGTATAATATAAGACTCGGTGTCCGCAATCGTACGGCACATGAAACCAGTGAAGTCAATGTACGACCAGTTAAGGTATAAAAATTACTTTATAAAACATATTTAGCTAATTATATTAAGCATAGAAATTAAGCAAATTTTTTTGTTATATTTATTAATATAATATATAGATTGTAACAAACAATTATAATCCGTCAAAAATATCTAATGATATAGCATTACTCAAATTAAATGAATCATTAGATTTCAATGGCAAACATAAACATTTGGCACCTATTTGTTTGCCCGACAGTAGTATTACTATCAAGGATTGCGTGGCCACTGGTATTGGATTAAATAAGAGTAAGTTATAACAACAATTAATTAATAGACATTTATTTTATGTAAATAATATATGATTAAATAATAATAGATTAATTAAATAATATTAAATCTCTTATATAGCTTATAAACAGCCGGTAATAATGCAAAAAGTATCGGAGCCTATCGTTGCCGATAATATTTGCCATAACTTATATAGTGATGTATACAACCAAACACAACAACTATGCGCCGGTGGTCACGGTAGTACCTGCACCGGTGACTCGGGTGGACCACTACAATGTCAAACCAATGATGGCAAATGGTATCAGTTTGGCATTACATCATATGGTGCACCCGGTTGTGATGAAACTGATTTCGGTGTCTATACTAAAGTTTTGTCATTTACTAATTGGATTCAACAAGTTATTGATAATAATTAATTGTAAACTTTTTTTTAATTATATCTACCACTTTTATTTCAATTAATTAATATGATATAATATTTATCTATATTATTAATTTTTGTTTATTTTTTGTCTCAATAAAAAATAGCATACAAAATCTACTAACAAGATTTGTATAACAATTTGATTAATTAATTTTCTAATATTATAAACATATAGAGTATTTGCTATATAAGTATATAATAAAATATTAATTTTTATAGAAAAAAATTTCCTAATATTAGGTATTAGGTATTATACTCTTTTATATTATTTATAAATGTATGTACAGTACATAAATTGGTAATATTTTATTAATTAGACATAACTTTGGTTTTGGCCGACAAAATCACATTATTGGTCGACAAAATAAAATACATTAAGTAATGTAGGATTAAATGCAAACAAAAGAAGTCCATTAAATCCATTTAATCTGTTGTTTGATCTTATATTTGTAGACCAATATTAGTGGACTGGTGTACACATAGTAGTACTGACTAGTAGTAGTAATCTATGGGCACAGGTATTAGACATACTGTACATGTTTGACGCACACATACATTCATATACAGTATATATTTATATATTGGTCAACACATTTGCTATTGACATTAACCACATTAACTAATATTATGTTTTGTCTCCCTATTGATAATACAATTACATACACACAACACATACTGTAGTGTACTGTAGAGTACAATACATTTTATGAGTTGTTTATCGGATGATAAAATCAAAACTAATTTCATTACATTATAGTATTGCAAACAATGCAATTCAATGTAATTTAATGAATTGGCAAATAAATTAAATGTTATTGTCGTCCAAATTATTAGCTAAATAATTTTTTGTTGTTTTTGATGCTATAAATATAAATTGGGATATATTTTTACATATGTAATCAAACAAAAACAATTATTGGTCACTAATTATAACATTTATAAATATAACTAAATATAAATTACAGTATTGAAAATAATAATAACACAAATTAGCACTTTTTAATAAAATGTTTTAAATTTAAAAAAATATTTTTATTAATTAAATATCAACTGAAATATTAAAACAAAACACAATATTAAAAATTATTTTTGTTTATAATATTAAGATAATAATAATAACTTTCTATACAATCTAATAATTCATTTTTAATTAAGATAATTTTTTTAAAAATTAGTAAAAAATCAATGAAAATATTTAACTGAAAAAAATGTTAAGTATTAAAAAATTTATTATTTAATAAATATTATTACATCAATCAATTGCCGTAAATTATCGTATATTTTATAGCTTAATGTTTCTTAAATTATGGTATATATATACTATATATAGTTATTAGTTTGTAGTTCTTATCTTAATTGTCGTAATTTTGGGACAATTATTGATTACTTTAGTGGCAATTGTTTCAGAAAATTGTTTCTGTTCTGCCGATAGCCGTATCTCTAATGTCCGCAAATTTTTCATTTTTGCCAAACAGTCCAACAAATTGTCGGTCGGAATAAAGAATTCAAAGCATAAATAGTGAACATTTGGTATATATTTCATGGGATTTGCCATAAAATCCGGACTCAAATGCCATTCATCTGATCTCACTGTTAGATGTGTTAGTTTTGACAATTGATTCAATGAATTAACAGATAAAACATATTCATTGATACCATTCTTTCCAAATGATTGATTGATTGCTTCAAATTTCAATTGTTTTAATTGTGGAAAATGTTTGCAAATAGTATCCAGTGTTTCGTTAATATCTTCAACGACTGTCAAAAAGATTAATCTAAGTTCAAAACTTTTTAATTGTCGACAATTGTCACCAATTTTGGCCAAATAAGATATAAGTGATAAATCTTTATATTTATTATAAGTATGCAAATTACTGTAACTTAGTTCATATAATTGTGTCAAATGTTTGGACACAGATATCAGTGGAATATTTTCGAGTCCAACAAAGTAAATGTTTATCGACTTTATATTTTGTCCATAAGTTTCGGCAAACTTTTCAAAATCTTTTACGTGAAACCAGGGAAGAGTAAGCCTTACTTTTCGTAGTTTTGGAAACAATACTTCATTATTACTATTATTAGCGTTGATATTAAAGATAAGCGATACAATGTTGGCATCCGGTAAATGAGTTATACTATTGATCTTAATCTGTGATAAATTGTGACATATCTTCAGCTGATTGCCAACAAATTGGTCAACTCTTGTGATGTTAATCTTCTTTAATTGTTTGCCATATTTTTCAAACTATTGTATAACAGTTTCATCTTCACTCTCGTAGTCTATCATTAAATCGATATTTGATTTATCGAAAGAGTATTTTAACCACAGATTTACTGCTTTATTGGATGTATTAATTGTGGCACTGAATGGACTGTTCAGTAACTTCTTCATTATCTTCTCGTAATTCTTAACATATATCTCGTTGTCTTCGATATAGTTATGGCTTTGAAATACCAATCGTTGCCATTGTTTGGACACACATTCATGTCTTATCTTCTCATCAAATGACAGATAAGACAACAATAGTTCAGTCAAATCATCGCCGAATCGATCAAACGATTGTCTTATCGATGAATCACTTCTTAAATACATTTTCTTTGTCATCGATGGCAAACTCATTGTCTCGTTTGATGCCATACCTAAAGACAATAATTATTTGTAAAATCAATTCAAATAATCTCATAATAAGTGATTTGTCTTACAATTTGATGACAATTAATGATAATATTATTTTAAAAAATCAATTGAAAGCAAATCAATAAATATTAGTTTAATTTTGATGTAAATTAAACTCTAAAACAATTGAATAGAATTCAGTCATTGATTGCATTCAATGCTTAACACAAACAATGCTTTACTACAGTATTAACGGAAATATTAATATTAAGTAAAATATTAAGTAATACTTATTGTAATAATAAGTATTGGTTTTCAAATAATAATCTATTCATATATTATGTTATATTTATGTAATTTAATGAATTACTAATTAAATTATCTGTAAATACTATTGTCGTAAAAATTATTTTCTAAATAAATCTTTTTTTATGATTTAAATATAAATTGGGATACATTTTACATATATGTAATCAAATTTATTATAATAAAAATCAATTATTAATTATAAAATTTTATGATAACTTCACGCAAACTTATTATACAATAAATTATATATTATTATTTAAAGATATATTTAATTAATTATATATATTTTTTAGCTAATATGACTTTAAATTTGACAAAATGACAAATAATAATAATAATAATAATAAGCATATCTATGTATAATTGTATTTATCAAATAATATCATATACTGTATTCAATACAGTGTTTTGAAGTTTTGTAGTTTTGAAATTTATTTTAAATCAAAATTTCAATTCAGTAATTCAATATTTATATTATTTTATTGTATAAATTACATTCAAATATTACTATTATTGAAAATTAACAAATTGTAATATTTATTTATTTTTGAAAAATCAATTTATTATAAAATTTATAAGAGATATCAACTAATTTTGTTGTTTAAATCATAATATTATTTAATAAAATGTCACAAAAGTTTTGTATTGTTTTTTTTTATATAATATAAGTTATAGGATATTGAATATACAGTACATTAGTGTTACAGTACTTTACAGTTAATATTAAATGTAAACGTAATGTATGTTTCAATAAGTTTTTACTCAATATTACTCAATAAATATAATGCAATACTTTATATACAGAGTATTCTATGTATTGTTAATCCATTTGAAGCCAACTTATTGTTTGTTTATTTTATTATTAAAATTTCAAAACAATTGAATAAATTTTTGTTTGTTTGCGGAAGTGATTCAAACAAACAAAAAATAACTAAATTGTTTACCCAATTGTTTTGTAACCAACTTGTAGTTGTCATCGTCGTCACCGAAATGGCGGGCAATTTGCGGGACGTACTCACGAGCGTCGAGTTATTGGTCAAGAAGATGAAAGACAAGCGCGACTTCATATTGGATCAGTTGAATGGCCGACGATGTGTGTCCACCACTCATATGGCTTTGTTGATCAACTCGTTTGTCGACCAACTGCTGGACGACTCGGATATTAAACCCGAAGAGGTGTTGGCCACCGATGACAAGACAAACGATGGACAATGTCATCACCGTCGTCGTCGTGATGGTGACAACAACAGTACGAATCGTGTTGTGGACACAACAGCCGAAGTTAAGCTGAAGAGTACTATCAAGACTTTGGAGGACAAACTCGCAGAATCTGTGAATGAATGCAAAAATATTGAAAATGATTTGCAAAAGAAGACAAAAAAGTTTGAGACAAAAGAGAGACAATATCTGAAACAAATCAATGAACTCATGTCACAACTCGACAGGTTTGTAGACATTAATAGCCATTTGATTCACGAGTCTATTAACTAATTGTTTTTTAATCATATGTTCAGCTCTAAAGAATTGGAGACCGATTTGAAGACACGAATCAATGATTTGAATCACAGATTGTATTCAAATAAAAGACAGACATTTGAGGAAAGTGTTAGACAAGAGATAGAGGAAGAGCTCAATAGACGTAAATTGAGTTTGAAGTCATCTGACGATTCGCCAGACAAGAAACAAGACGTGAAAAAGACTAGATTTTCATTACAAGAAGTTCGCGATACCACTGACTCGGATACAGAAACCGGTGAAAATCAATTGATCAAAGAGTGTCTCAAATCTAAACTATCGATATCTTTGGAAAAAATGAGTGCTTTAGAAATACAGATTATTGACGATGAAGATGACAACAGTTCTACTGATTCCTCAACAGTTATTGTCGACACTGTCATTGACAACAATAATAATAGTAACAATAATAATAGTAACAACAATGACAACAACAATGACAACAACAATAATAACAACAATGACAACAACAATAACAATGATACGAATGACAACAATGACAAAAAAAATATAAATTGCAAATCCTATTCAATTACTAAAGAGATAAATGGCAAAATTTTAGACTATTCTTGTAATTATTGCAAATATGAGACCAAATCGGTAATTGCTATTCGTATACACTGCCGAAAATGTAAACAACAATCAGCCAAAACTATTGATGAATTTTATTGTGACGAATGCTCGAAGAAATACACCACCAAATCGTCGCTTAATAAACATAAATCTAAAAAACATAATAAATTTATTAAAAATAATGATCAGACACTAGAATTGCTAAACGATAAGAGCACCACAAATCGGAAGCTGAGGAGGAATCGCAAACAGACAACACATTTTACCATTCAATTTGACAAAAGATGTAAACGTATTAAAGAAGAAATGGTTTAATGATTATTATTATTATAATAATAATAATGCTTTAAATAAGTCATATATTAATATACTTATGTTCTTTAATATATGTATTTTCATTTATAAATTTATACATTTTTATATCATTTTATATAATAATATATATATTAATTTTAAACATTTAAACAAATTCTTTTTCATTAATTCATATTAATTTTAAAGGGTTTCACTTTTTGTTATTGTTATAAATCATTTAAATACTCATAAAAAAATTTTAACAAATGAATTACGGATTAATTTTGTTCACTAATTTTGTTATTTGATTATTTATTTTTAAAAAATAATTGACAATTATTTATCAATCATTTTATTTTAATTATTTTATTTATTCATTTAATTTTAAAAGGTGTTTATCTATTAATGAAATATGTTATTCAATTAATTTATTCAAATAGTCTAATACAAAATGATGATATACTCACAATGTTTTCCACAAAAAAATATTAATAATTAAAAATTGCGGTGATAAAATTAACTTTGTTATTAACTTTATATTAATCAAATAACTAATTTTATAACATTTAAAATCTATTTATATAAATAAATAAATAAATTGTAAATTATTATATATATATAATGTAACATTTGTATTTCTTAATTAGATAGAAAAATATCAATTAAAATTATATTAAATTGTATTTTTATGCATTGGCTACTACTTTTGAAAAAATAAACTACCGGTACTTAAAATAGTGTTTTAATAGAAACTTATTTTAAATCTAGACTGTAGTAATGGGTACGGTTCCCCTACCCATACCAAAAATAAATGAATACCTTTAAAAAAAATCCTGTAAAACAATCTATAGTATACTGTACTAAAAAAAATTTAGTGTTTAGTATTATTTATTTATTTTTAAAAATGTTATGCATAAAATAGTCCGTAAATTATATTAACTGCTTATTAAATACACAATAAATAATTTTAACTACCTACAAAAAAATGTTTAAAAAAATTAATTTATTTTTATTTATTTTATTATTATTATTGTTGTTACTGTAATAAAGTTTTATTATTTTCAATTTGCGTTAAATTTAGCAATAGATTTGCAATATATATATACATTTTCATAAAATTATACAAAAAAAAATTAAGAAAATAAGACATAATAAGAATAGTATTAATAAATATGTTTTAATTTTTTTTTATATATTAACAACATATTAAAAAACAACAAATAAAATATTTGTTGCATGAATTTATTTATTTATTTTTTGTAATTATGTTATTGATATTCACCATAATCTGCATAATCTGTAATTCAATCAAAAACTCCTCAATTATTAACATCGCAGTCAATAGTATATAATTAAGTGCCATAAAATAAATTATCATTCTTACTATTAGTACAGTATATAATCAATTATCAATCAATATTAAATTATTATTATTATTTTATTATTATTATTTGTTTCAGCGATAATATTTAGATTGTTTGTGCAACAAATAAAATTACATTAATATATACTATAAATTTTATATATCTTTCATATAGTTTTTCTAATAAATTAATTTTATAAGTTGTTTTAATAAGAGTTTATTTTTTATTATATTTTTATCAATAACTTTGATAAAAATATGTTTCGCCAATTTGATACGTTTTAATTAACATGATAATTTAGGCATATAATTTTTTTTGCATTTATCAATTATCTAAATTTACTTTTAATTAAATTTATTATTTTGCTAGTATTTATTGACTTATAACTAAAGTAAAACATATAGACAGATATATTTTGTTTTCTTTAAATATATTAAAATCATTTGAGATTAAGTTCATTGCTACTTATTAATAAAAATTTTTTTTAATAACATAAAAAATTCACTGAATTAATTTGTAAATATAAATATCTCATGCATATTAAAATTTATATAAACTCAATATAGATACTTAAACTTAAACATTGTTAAAAAAATAAAAATAAAATAATGATGCGAACAATGGATTATATAAATAGTAATATTGTAATATAAAGTCATAAAATTACGACAAATACTGTATAATAATTTTTTAAAATAAATTTATAACACAGTATATACTGAGCACTAAAGTTATATTATTGTCTTTATTGTTTAGTTTTATTTCGACTAATTTTTTTCCACAACATTATAACAAAAATAAAATTTTGTAATAAATATGATATAATTTTTTTTTAATTTCAAGATTTTCACTTTGGAAGCAACTTTTGCTATAAATATCTATCAGATTATCTCAAAAAATGCGACACAAAGACTCATAAAAAATAATAAAATAATCTAAAAATTAATTTTAGTTTATAAATAAATATAATATTACTTATTTAATATATGAGAAAAAAACATTTCAAAATTGGGACTCAATTCATCAAATAAATATGTTATAAATAAATCTTAATTCAAATTGTAATTTATATACTGTATATTAAAGTTAGTGAGTGAAAAATTTTTAGTAAAATTATTTCAAAATAATAAACAAGAAAAAAACCTATAGATAAAACCTATTTAAAATTATTAATTATTGATACATATAATTTAAAACAGTTTTTTTGTTTGTTTATTTGTCTTTTTTTCCTATGAATCACATTTAACGGCTTAATTAAGATAAGATAGACTCAAAAATCAGATATTTTTATGTTAATAAAATCTATTTGAGTTTGAAAATTAATCATTTGAAAATATTTAACTAAATATTACAAACATTTCATGATAAAATGTATTTAAAGTTTATTAAATTTTAGTTTTTTAACATCAAAAAACTATTTCTTTAAATTGCAATAAACAAAAAAAAATATTTTACGTTTAAAAGTGAAATTTATTATTATTATGACATATATTTTGTGTGTCAGAAAGAAAGAAAGAGAGAGAGAGATAGAGAGAGAGAGAGAGACTGTGATTATGACGGATAGACTAACTGTCCAAAAGTGTCAGCAAAATGTAATTTCCAATAAAAATAAAACTTAATTATAATATTAATGTAATTTTAAGATATTTAAAAATTATGTGCTCTTAAATTTTGGTGACACTTTTGGCTATATTTATTACGACTACAACTTAAAGGCATAAAAATATTAAGCTTAAAGAGACCAAAAAATTGTCACTTTTTTTTAAAGTAATAAAATAATAAATTTTATATATAATTTACAAACTATCTGTTATTTACAGCATCGGTGAAAAAATTAAAAATAAACAAAAAAAATAAATAATTAATTTAATTCATGTATTTTTTTTCTCTCTCTCACTCTATCTGTCTCTTTAGGCAAACCTATAACACAAATGCTATATAATTATATTATTAATAACAACACAAACAAGTGGTGAGATTATAATTTTATGCTTATTTTAAGGTGAAATGAGAAAAAACTATTAAATTTATGTAACTTATGATTTAAATATTAGATAAGAGCGAAAAATATGTATTTAATGTTTTACTTGTTTTCTCCATAAATATTATGATATGATAAATAATGGCATAAAACGATTTAAATACCAGATAATAGTTTTTGTTGTTTAATTATTTTTAGTTACTTTAAGCTAAAATACTATTTATTAATAATTATAATAATATATACTTTCACATTTACATAATTATTTTATAAAAAAATCAACTATTTATAGGAATTTAGCAAATCTTATAATTTTGAAAAATAAATATATATATTTTTTAAAAACATTAACAAAAAAACTTAACAAACATTTAGTTGTTTTTCTCTAAATATAAAATACTTTTTTTTAACATTAATAAAGTAGCCAAACTTGAATTTTCATTTATAAACATTAGATTTTTATGATTTAAAATTATAAACAGAGAAATTATTTTAGTAAAATAATTGTAAACAACAACAATTAATATAAACACATTTTAATTATAGCCAAAAACAACAGTTGTTTATCATAAATAGTTAATTAGGTATTTGCTAAATATATTTTTGTGTATAACAACACTGCACTATAATACTTATTACTTAAATAAACACATTATTTAATGGATAGTAAATTTATTTATATAGTTAATGAAAAAAGTAATTATTGTATTTGAAAATTATATTCATATTTATACTAACCGACTATTATTGACACTAATTCACATATTATTATTATTTTTTAAAATTGGTATATTTTTCATAATTAAATAATTTGTTATTTAGTATTAGTCATAAATTTGAAAAGAAAATTAATAAAACTATGATATTATCTATGTTTTTTAAAAATACAATGATATGATTCATTGATAATTCAACATTAATTTTGATCAATTCGTCCAAATAATTATTGATTTAATCAGTTATAAACATTAATTTTTTGGGGTAAACTATATTTTTAACATAAAATAATAATTATTATAAATAGATTCAATTTTGTTGTTGTTTGAATATACCAATTTATTTATATTTATATATATATAATACAGTATATACTGATTGATAATTTAATATTGATAAGAGTGAATACATTTTAAACATTTAGAAAAAAACTTATAATCATATTTTCTTATCATTCAAATTGGTTTATCAGAGAAAAAAAATTTGGAAAATAACAATTAGATTAGCATTAAATAGTATATAATATTAATTCAATGATTTGAAAATCAATCCATCATTTTATACATTACATAACGAAATTATTAATCAATATAATCGGTATATAATTTTTAACACGATTTGTTTGAGTCAATCGACAAACTATATGATAATGACTTTATTATTTCAAAAATTGATTACATGTTTTAATTTTCTTGTTTTTTTAATAATGTAATTACTTTATTATTATTATAATATTATTGAAATTTATATTAAATTTGTTCACATATTGTCGTCCGCACGGGTATTGATACTGTAATGACCACTTCTGGAGGTGGCAGCGGCGGCCGTGTTGTTGTTGTTGTTGTTGTTGACGTTGATGTCTTCAATTGTCAAACATATCATTTGATGTCTTTTCATGGTTTTCAACTGATCCTGCAATTGAATGTCCAATAAATTAATTTCGTTAACAATGGCTTCTC